TATTTACCAAACATGAAAAATAATAAATACTCTTCAAATACACTTTTGGTTATCCTAATTGACATTGATATATAAAAACCTCTAAGTCAGCAATTTTGAGCTTCCCTCCAAAAACAAACAAAAAAGTTTCAAGACTTCTGAAAAAGGTGAGTGGAGTGAGGGAAAACTAACAGTTAAGGAACGTGACAGCAAAAGTAAAGCCCAAAACATAATAAACAACTCCTAAGACAACTGCATATCGGGTCTTCGTATTAGGATAAGGACCCCAAACTCATTCTTCTTCTTAACATTTGATAGACCACAATAATTTCCATGTAGAACAGAATAACTTGGTTGCTACAATTACACTGTTGGGGAAAAGGAACTTTTTAAACTTTTTCTTATTAAAACAGAGCATGAGATACTCTCTTACTTCACTAATAAAATACTAAATAGACAAATCCACATTCCAAAAGCACATGTTAAGCAGAGGAAAAAGTGTTCATCAAAACGAACTGTCTTTTTACGACCGCTATTTTCTTCTGTTCTCAAAACACATCTCCCCTTCATGCAAAACTCTCTTTAAGAAACCTCCTAGACACACTCTGCCGGGGGTTGGGAAGGGGGTAATACAAGGTGAGTGGATAGGGAAGACCTCAAAATCGAGGTTCGCTTACTTTCGTGCCTGGTCCTGCAGTGAAAACGAACAGAGGCTGTGCCTCTCTGGCAAAGGCTGCTGGCTGGGAGGGTGGGAGAATCAACGCACAGTCAGGAGTGTCTGGTACCAAAACCAGGGGACTACGCTTTCCCCGCACATCTCCAGAACACCGGTCCTTCCCAGGCTTCCTAAATGCAGGAGTGCGCGCGTGCGCGTGCACATACACACACACTCACACACTCGGGCTCGCGCGTGCGCAAAGCACTCTTCAACAGCCCCGCCAGGCTTCTCTTCCTCCTCCAAGGACCGACGCACAAGACGCCAAACAGGAAGAGGGCGGAGCCAATGAGAAAAAAAAATTGCCTCCAACCTCGAGATGCTCTACCCACTAATTTACCCAATCACCCTTTGGGAAGAATGATCCGGGCGACCTAAGAGTGTCCCCAAAAGTGAAGTACCAACCACAGCACCGCTGAACAGGCCACAACCCCTTAGTTTTAGAACCCATAGGCTTAGCACCCACCCTCCCGCGTCTGCTTTTCTGTCTCTTCACCTAGGCCCGTTGCCCCTGGAAAAACACGCGAGACTTAGCGAGAAGACGAGCTAAACTAGAGTGGGTAAATAGGGAGGGACACAGGAAGGCCCCGCCCCTACCTCTCCCGCAAATCAGCGGCGAGCGGCCGGCTCTGCTCCACGGTAACGCGAGGGAGGAAATCTCGCGAGACTGGGGCAGTCAGGGAGCGCTAGTCGGGGACGGTCGACGGAGGTTTATCCCGGGTCAGTGATGGGGCTGAACCCCGCTGATTTGCCAGTTGTCTGTGCTGTCTCTGTTGGATTCTGCGTCTGCTCGCTGAAGACGCGGAACAGGGGTGCGGAGTCTTTTCCTTTGGGTGCTTAAGACCCGGTGGTCAAAGGTCCTAATCTGCATTGCCGACGGCTGCGAGGGATTGAGAGCGCAGTAAGTGGTATAAACCCGGGACCATAGCGGGCGTAGGCGAGTCGGAAGCTTCCTTTGCCTGTGGGCTGCCTCGGTGCGTGCCCCTTGAGGACCACCGGCTCTCCGGCCCCGGCCACTTCGCAGTCTCAGCTCTTGGGAGCCAGCCCGGTGCTTAGCTTTGAGCTCCTCTTTCCGGAACGGAGATACGGAAAGTTTATTGGAAACTCTCGGCCCCAAACCTGTGGACGCACCGTACCATCCGTATTTGTTTTCTTCTCTTTTTACCCACCTTGAGGGTTAGGGAAAGGGATCCTTTTCCTCCAGTTTACCCCATTGCAGTATTTGCCGCAGATGAGCATTCCCTTCTTGAAACCGCCCTCCAAGAGATATTACTCTTTTTTTCTGGTTTTCATCTTTATTCCATCCCAAATACTGATACTGACACCAGTATACGTCCTAACATACGTCCAAACTAGAAACCCAAGAATCCACAGTTCCAGTTAAACTGCACTGTATTGTTTCTTCTTTCACCAGAATTATTGCACCTACCCCAAACTAGTTTCCCCGTTAACATCCTTACAGTTCTGGCATACGTTTTGTTTACATCTCTCCTTAAACTTTTCAAGTAACCGCATTGCTGACAGAATCAAGTCCTAATTATCAAGCATGTCATTCAGGATCTTTTACAGTCTGTCTCAATCATATTTTTAGAGTCTCAACTTGCTTCTTCTCCAAATAGTTTAACGTCCAACCATACCAGACACTGGCTGTTTTTTCCAAAAGTGCCGTGCCTTTTTCACAGCTCTTTCTCTTTATAGGACTGTAGCATCTGTCCCTGTTTGCCATTTATCAAAACTTAATTCGTGGATTTTCTCAGACTCCCCCAGGTGACAAAGCGCTTCAGATAGTTTGGTGGTATTTATTAAGAAGTATTGTTTGTTCATTTATCTGTCTGTTCTGCGAACTTGAAATTGAGTCTGAAATCATGTCATTTCATCTTTGAAACAGAATTTAGTCCAGTGCTTGGCACATTATTTATATGTACATATGTATACATATTTATAATAGTTGTAAAAACTTTACCACAGGAGTTTTTAGTTCCTTAAAAGCATGGAATTTTAAGACCCAGAAGGAACCTTGTATATTTGCTTGAAGGCCCCTGCCTATTTTGAATATGAGCAATCCCATACTCCTAATATGTATGTAATTGTAAAATTTTTAAATTATTGGTTGATTGGAATTATAATGGAAAGGGAAAAACCCCTATGCTTTCAAATAATTTTGTGTTTTATTATACTATTATATTTGAAAAGTAGTGGGATTATATGTGAGAGAAATGTCTTAGACTGTTTGCAATGCTTCCTGTGTGTGCATTCATATAACTGTGCCACTGACTCCTTGGCCTATAGGTTAGAAACAATGGGTTTAGATTAGGTTGGTTCCTTTTGGAATTGCTGTAACTGTTTGCATGTGTGTATATGAAACTTGTTTAATCGTGATTCTAAGGATATTTTATTATGGCAGGGGGCGGTTACTGGGGATTGAATTTAGGGGCACTCAACCACTAAGCCACATCACCAGCCATTTTTTATACTTTATTTAGAAACAGGGGCTCACTCAGTTGCTTATCGCCTTGCTGTTGCTGAAGCTGGCTTTGAACTCAAGATCCTTCTTCCTCAACCTCTGGAGCCACTGGGATTACAGGCCTGCGCCTTTTTTGGGGGTGTTGGAAATTGAGCTCAGGGGGACTTTACCACTAAGTCTCCAGACTTTTTAATTTTTTATTTTGAGATAAGTTCTCACTAAGATGCTGAGGCTGGGTGCTGGGGTTGTGGCTCAGCAGTAGCGTTTGCCTAGCATGTGTGAGGCCCTGGGTTGGATCCTCAGCACCACATATAAATAAATAAATTAAATAAAGCTTAAAAAAAAATACTGAGGCTGGTCTTGAACTTTCAGTCCTACTTCATTGGGAATATAGATGTGTACCACTCTGTTGGGTCCAAATGTATATGATTTTTCTAAAAATCTTCCAGCATTATTCCTTTCAAATTCTGTTCTGTCCAACTTTAAAAATTAATTTTCTCCAGGGCTGGGGATGTGGCTCAAGCGGTAGCGCGCTCGCCTAGCATGCGTGCGGCCCGGGTTCGATCCTCAGCAGCACCACATACCAACAAAGATGTTGTGTCCGCCAAGAACTAAGAAAAAAATGAATAAATGTTAAAATTCTCTCTCTCTCTCTCTGTCCCCCTCTGTCTCTCACTCTCTCTTTAAAAAAAAATAAAAATAAAAATAAAAATTAATTTTCTTTATAAAGCTCCAATTATGTTCACTGCACCAATGAAAATTTTCCATGATTTCAAATAGTGACATGTATGCCTGTATAATGCTTATTTTTATGTGTAATTAAATGCATAATTCTTGATCTCTTAAGATTATGAGCTTTGGGGGCTGGGGATATAGCTCAGTTGGTAGAGTGCTTGCCTAGCATGCACAAGGCCCTAGGTTCAATCCCCGGCACCACCAAAAAAATAAATAAAAATAAAAAAAGATTAAGAACTTTTCTGAAAGACATAAATATGCCTTTTTATTTTTCTATCTCATGTGTCAATTAATGTTATCTACTAATTGTCATTAGAGGTGTCTACTTGGACAGTTAAAAAAAATTTACACTAAACTGACATTTAAAGACATCTGTGGTATATCAGTAGTCACAATAATTTTGTGTAGGTCTAGCTATAAGATAGTAGATTTCTGGATAAAGGAAACAGATGAGTGACCTGAATTTTTTAAAATTTTTCTTAACCAAAAAGAAGTCTGTAAGTAAACAGCTGGCAATTGCTGTCTTGGGTAGGTGGCAGTTTCTTTTTCACCAGCAGCAGAATGTTCTTGAACCATCTGCCAGGAATCTTGAATGTACATGTTTGGTGGCAAGAGTGGGTGAGAATGTGGCTAATGCAGGAAACACACCAAAAAAAATTGTTTAAAAAAAATTTTCCTGCTATTTAGACCTACCTATAGAAAACAATGTAAACATTTTGTGACTAGTTAAAATAGGTAGGTACTATGAAAATAGGCAGATAAGTTAAAAGTACAACTTTTTTTTTAACTGAAGGCTATTTTTAAAAAAATTAAAACTTGTTAGTTTGAAAAGTACTTCTTCCACTCTACTTATTAGACAAAGAAAGGGAGGAAATAATTTTTCAGGAAGAATAGCAAAATAAATTAATATTATTAAATATTTTACTTTTGTGGTTTCACATACAGGAAATGAACATGCAAATTCTAAGAAACTGTGTCACTGTTTTTCTGAAATGGTAATAAAATTATCCTTTGAGCTGCCTGCTATTTACAGTTTCTTTCCCTGAATAGATGTTTTTATAATTATGAACAAATTTTAAGTATAGTTCATTTTGATAGTGTTTCATTATGCAGCCTAGAGAATGTTTTTTAAAGTAGATGTTAATTATAATTTTAAAAAGTCTATGGATAAACTTTTGTTGCTTAATTAACTGTAAGGTCTAATTAAAATGGTTCTTAGGCTTGTATTAGTTACATGAAAAAAATTTTGAAATTTTGTTTGGTTTTGGTACTGGGATTGAACTCAGGGGCACTCAACCACTGAGCTACATCACCAGCCCTATTTTGTATTTTATTTAGAGACAAGGTCTCTCTGAGTTGCCTAGTGCCTCACTTGCTGAGACTGGCTTTGAACTAGTGATCCTCCCACCTCAACTTCCTGAGCCACTGAGAATACATGCGCCACTGCAGCAGGCGAAATTTTGTAATTTTTTTAATATAAATTGTTCTTAGGCATTCTTGTTTATTTCTTATGACTATCTTGGAAGTTCATTGATTCGTTAGAGTCAGGGAATTTGCTTTGTTTTTCTACCTATGCAGGTCAAGATGGTTTCTGTATAAGTGAAAGCAAATAAGACCTTGTGAATCCAGCCTGGCTCGTGAATAAAACTGGGATCGGAAGATCTATTTCTGGTACTAGCTGGGCTCTTTCACTGGGTTCCTTATATTGGTAATTACTAAGTCTATTTTCTTTTCTTTTTGGGGGGTACTGGGGATTGAACTCAGGGGCACTCCACCACTGAGCCACATCCCTAGCCCTGTTTTGTATTTTATTATTAGAGACAGGGTCTCACTGAGTTGGAACTGGCTAAATTGCTGAGGCTGGCTTTGAACTCTCCATCCTCCTGCCTTATCCTCCTGAGCCACTGGGATCACAGTCATGTGCCACCCCACCCAGCCCCTAAGTCTATTTCTTATTGGTAAAAAAAGGAATGATAATACTTGTCCTGCTGCCCAATTAAAGTGGTACTCCTCAAATTCCGAAAGCTACCACCAGTTTGAATGAATTATCACCAGCATTTCGATTTTTATTCTAGAGTACTCCAGAAGTCTGGGTTGAATTAGATTGGAGAGAAGGCTAAATATAGGTAAAAACAATTCTGAAGAAAAAGCAATGACTTAGCAAGGGTTTTAAAACTATTAAAACTGAGGCAGTTGGGTATTGATGATAGACAAATAGCCATTTTAATAGGGTGGTAAAAAAACACATCATGGTTTTAATTGAATATCTTTAATAAGCACATCTTTTCATGTGCCTCTTCACCATACATGTTTTTTTTAGTTAGTATTAAAGTCTTTTGCTCATTTGCTTATTTTAAAAACTGTATTCTTAGTATTAGTTTTGAGAGATTTTCATTGTAAATACAAGTCTTTCATCAGATATGTGATTTGAAAGTATTTTCTTCCAGTATAGATATAGCTTGTGTTTTCAGTCTGTCTTTTTTTTTTT